AACTGTTCCTTGAACTCTCCGATGGTCGTGGTGGGCATCACGGTGAAGACAACTTCCTCGCCGCTCATGAACTCCACCGTGACATGAAATCCCGCCATGGCGAACTCGGTCGGCGCACTGGCTGCCACGAGCAGAAGGCCTGGCCTCTGTGGAACAATGGACTCTGAACTTCTCTGAGCATCAAGAAATACAGTTGCTTCCTCTTATGAGCAGGATGCTTCTTGAGAGCATTTAGAAGACCCAATCAGAAAGATAAAGCAAGTAACAAACATTGTAAACTATGGTACAGTAAACATGTCGTGCCAGGGCGGGACGCTGGCCAAAAATGTCGGCAAAGCTCAATCCAAACATTATGGCTAGCACCATCTGCAATGTATCCAATTTGCCGCTTCCATGGCTTCCATGTTCCTTTTGAATGCAACTGTGGGTGTTTTCAAGTACCCAGAACAATGGAGCTGAAATGAGGTGAATTACAAAAACCGGCTAATCATCCATCCTCATACCAATTGGACCCATTAGCCTGGCTTGCAATGCCGCCTTGGAGATGAATCTCAAAAGCTCCATGGTGCCATTCACGGCTGCCGAGGCCAACTTAAAACAGAACCAAACATCACGCAGCCATAGGGATCCAAGCACCTTCTCAGAAGGTACTTGGACCCTCCAAACCTACATATGTTGCATAATGTCTCCAATCACCCTCTGAGAAGGTACAACTGGATCCCTGGGGCAGTACCACTTAATACTATCCCCCACCTAAACCGTCGCCTGAAATCCAATGATTCTCACCCGGCGGGTCGCACCCGCCGGCTCGGGGCCTGATGGGGTTGGTAGGGCACCACCAGGATGACGGAGGCTTCTGGCGCTGCCTCCTTCACCTTGGAAAGAGGAAAAAAACCGGTGGACGAAGCGGGTTCATGGAACATCCAGCGCGGTGTGTGGAAGGGTTCTCACTATGTCACGATGCTCCCCAAATTCAAATATCACTGCATCAACATGACCGAATGATGGATTTGTTGAGGGGAGACATCATCTACGGAACTTGACGCAAGCAGCCAGGTGTTTGTAGAAGACCTTGATCTTGGAATCTACACTTCCGGAAACAATCATGGGATTTTTTTGCATGTTCTGGCACATTTTCAAGACTCTTTTCCTCTACCAAGACGGGGGTTGTACACTTCCATGCTTGTCGCAGTCTTTCCAAGGCTGCAAGGTCGTTCCACGAGCCCATGAACGAGCCCATGGCCGTCCAGCGTACGTCTCAGTAAAATCCAACGGATTCTCATGGATGGCACCAATGGTTTATGGTTCACCTGCATGGATAATTTCACCTGCCGGTGGACGGTGTTTCTTGTGAAACCAAAAAGGCCTTATGGGTGAAAAATATTTGCTGATCTGCGAAGACACTACCAGGTACTTCAACAAAAGTACTCCAAAGAGTGTTTAATGTTCAATTGTGCAGGTAAAGTTATAACCAACACCCGCATAGAAACATGCATTCAAATTCTACTCTATTGGGATGAGTGATGGTCAAAGCATTGGCTGGTGATATGGTTTCCATGAGCACACGCCCCGCCGCCACCACATCCCTCCCACTCTCTCCCTTTGGATGATCTCGCACCTGCTCCAAAACAGCCTTTAAGCGCTTGGCAAACTCCTGCGCCACCTGGAAATCTGGGAGGCTTTCATTCACTACCCAATGTCCAGCAACTTGCAAATTCATTGAATCTGGGAATGTCTGGGAAGCAATCTGGCATGCTTGCTTCAGCACCCATCCAATGGCGCCGTGTGTGTGTGTGTCCCACCCTGGACAAAGGGTCTTACACCACCACTCTTCCCATTTTACACAGGCAGGGGGCAGTGACAGAGTTTGTGGAATCACTGCCAACGAAGACGTCCACATTCTCTGGTGATGCATCGGGAGACGTCCTGATGTGTACCTGCTTCAACTTTTGAACACGCTGTCCAATCTTTCGGTTTGATTCATGGTGGTTCCACACGATACTTTCCCCACAAACAGGTTTCCCACTGCACTGCAGCTGCTGACCGCCGCTTCCACTTGCGCTTGTCGTGAAACCTGTGTTAAACAATACAGTTTAAGCTGACCTTTCCACCTTGCCGTTCCATCGCCTTCCTTCCCATTGAGACAATTGCGTTAACTGAAAAACCCAAGTTCGAAGTGTGTGTGTCACACTCTGTTTCCAAGAGTTTTAATACGCAGGGGGACGGGTCACCACCGATACTGCCCGTCCAACGAAGAGGGTATCGGTTGGTGCTGAAGCAGTGGAGGACGCTCCACTGTGTACCTGCATCAAACGCAATGACTCCACTGGTTTCCCTTGCCGCTGTTGGTTTGTTTCCATGGTGGTTCTTCGCATGCTATCCCCCAAACCAGGTTTCCTTGCACGGCGTGAATTCAGTCTGCTAAGTAATCAGTAACTTGTTTTCTGCAGTCACGCGTCAACCTTTGTTAAAACACCTTCAAGTATTCGGACTTTTCGCCTTTCGGTTCACTCTTTCTTTTCCTAGGTCTGCTAAGTATTCAGTAACTATAGTGTTCTGCAATCACGCGTAACCTTCTGTTAAACAATACTGTTTTGCGGACTCATGCACCTTTCCGTTCCCTCACCTTTTTCCACTTGGGAATAGATTAGCTGAAAAACAATGTCAGAGTGTGAACCGCTCAGTCGTCCCACTTAAGTGCTGGGTGTGATCTCCCGCAAGGGAGCGCTGTCCTCATTCCGGATTACCATTCACTGATTTTCTTCCGTTCTGCACATGTTGGATTCTCTTAACGGACTCTGTTTCACTCCTGGATTCCCAAAACCCTATGCCGTCGGGCCCACGACAACATTTCCACCGATGCATTCATGCGATTGATTTCGCATTTTGTCAAGTTCCTTTCGCTGCCAGCGTTCAATTTCAATAGACCACTTTCGAGACCAATTTTGCCAACTGGACTCTGATCGTTTGGGTTCCCACCCCCCCGCCGACTTCTACTCCCTACCTAATTAGGGTAACAGAGGGAAATGGTACTCGACACACTTGTGTGTCGGTGCCTTTCCCTCTGTTGTCCCTGTTCTAGTCTACTCTACCCGGGCGGTTTAAGACTAAAGTCCCGCTCCCTAACTATTGCACCCAATTAGTTCCCGCTAAGTAGTCAGTAACTCTAGAGTGCTAAGTATTCAGACACACACATGGACATACACCCCCTCCCTACCCCCCCGCTTTCTTTCTTGCGCTTTTCGTCGTTTCTTGGGCTTTCTTTCAGGCTTTTTGGGTGGTTCTTGAGGTTCGTTTCCCTGCCCCAGTCAAGGGCTAAGTATTCACTTTTACTACACCTATCTTTTGCTCCTGCCCTTTTAGCGCTGCTCTTTCTGTCTTTCTTTCTTTCGTTTCGGCTTTTTAGGTGCCTATTTAGGTTTTTTCGCCGGAGCGCCGCAAAGCGGCTGAGTGTGTGTGTGTGTGTGTCACACTCTGTTTCCAAGAGTTTTACTCTGCAGGGGGACGGGTCACCACCGATACTGCCCGTCCAACGAAGAGGGTATCGGTTGGTGCTGAAGCAGTGGAGGACGCTCCACTGTGTACCTGCATCAAACGCAATGACTCCACTGGTTTCCCTTGCCGCTGTGGGTTTGTTTCCATGGTGGTTCTTCGCATGATATCCCCAAAACAGGTTTCCTGGCACGGCTTGAATTCAGTCTGCTAAGTAATCAGTAACTTGTTTTCTGCAGTCACGCGTCCACCTATGTTAAAACACCTTCAAGTACTCGGACTTTTCGCCTTTCGGTTCACTCTTTCTTTTCCTAGGTCTGCTAAGTATTCAGTAACTAGTGTTCTGCAGTCACGCGTAACCTTCTGTTAAACAATACTGCTTTGCGGACTCATGCACATTTCCGTTCCCTCACCTTTTTCCACTTGGGAATAGATTAACTGAAAACCAATGTCAGAGTGTGTTTGTGTGATTAGCCTGTTGATCGGAACTAACATGGACATGCCTTGTTCTTGGTGCGTTTGAAGTCTGAGGCATCAAGGGATGTTTGGACATGTCACCCAGAAATACCTAGAAAATGAGTTGGATAATAATACATCTAGGATTTCATGTGAGGCAAACCCACTTGGAGATAACTGGTAAAACGGATGAATGTCAGGAATCATTCGAAACATCAGCATAGCTCGCTCAAACATCTTGCAAGAATATTGCATATGGGTGTGTATTAAAATAGTGAGACCTCCCAAAGAACCCCTAGAAGAAGAACCATAGACCCAAACCCATGGTTGGGGGGTCTCTCTATTAAATTACACACCTGTATCAGGTGACAAGAACTGAAACACTGCGGGCCTCTGCTTAGTTAGTTTTTTGGGGGCCAGGGAGATGTCGCCAGGCACCAGGTGATGCCAATTTTTGGGCCAGCTGCCCCACCTCCTTTCGCTTTCCTTCGGCGTTTGGCAGCAAAGAGCTGAGCAGCTTTCCCTTGACTTCAGCGTTCAGGTAGACATCCTCAGTTTCTGTCAAACAGGGCCCATCCTGGGAGCATTCTGGTCCGTAGACACTTGCTCTACTCATCTGAGCAGCCCAAACCGGATCAAAAATTCTCGCTTGGAATAGGAAATAAAAAA